CCTCCTTCCCTCAGAAATTTTGGAGAACTGGGAGAATCTAGAACTCTTCCAGAGATACCCACCCCAGTCCCTCCCCTGATGGGACACATCCCAGCACACGGGCAGGCACTGGATTCCCTCCTCCCACACAATGTGATGATCTGCAACCATGACCAGGATCATTTTATGGAGATAACCCCCAAATGTATCATCCATGGGATGGATCCTGCTGGAAACCTCCATGCTCAGCCCTCCACCACCACCACCACACCATGCAGTGACCCTTCCCACTGTGGTCCTCACACTCATCTCCAACCATCACCAATGGGGCCAGAAGAGCCAACCCCCTTTGGGGGGGGCCAGGAGAGCCAACCCCCTTTTGGGGGGGCCAGGAGAGCCACTTACCGCAGTAGGCGAACTTGAGGGAGAGGACACAGCTCTCATGGAGGTGCAGCTGGTACTTGTCAGGCTTTGTGTGGTGCAGCACTTCCACGTTGCTGCTCTCCATGCCCACTGCCAGCCACTCACCCGTTGGGCAGTACCCCAGTGAGAAGATCTGTGGTGGGGGGGACACAGAGGGGATGGTGAGGGTAGGGGGTTTGCACCCACCATTGGAGAGAGATGCCAATCGCCCAGGCATGAGCCAAGCTGGGGTTGACTCCTTTGGTAGACCATAATAACGTGATGGCTTTGATTGTAAACACCTTTCTGGCATCCTCCAGAAGAGGAAGACTCAGTGTGGAAGGCAGCGAGACTAAATGAGCTCTAAGCCATGGCTGCTCATGGGCTGGAAACAGCGGTGGCCTGGCTTCTGGATCCCAGAATGGCCTGGGTTGGAAAAGCCCTTGAAGCTCATCGAGTCCAACCATGAACCCAACACTGACCAGTCCCCTATGACTAACCCATGTCCCTCAGCACTGTGTCTACATGACTCTCCAAACCCTCCAGGGATGGGGACTCCACCACTGCCCTGGGCAACCCCTTCCAATGCCTCAGAACCCTTGCAGCAAAGAAATTCTTCCTCACATCCCATCTCAACTGCCCTGGCCACAACTGGAGCCCATTTCCTCTTGTCCTGTCCCTTGGGCCTTGGTTGAACAGACCCACCCCCACCTCTCTCCACCCTCCTCCAAGGGACTTGCACAGAGCCACAAGGTCTCCCCTCAGCCTCCTTTTCTCCAGGCTCAACAACCCCTGTTCCCTCAGCTCCTCCTCAGCACACACATTGCTCTGGCCCAACTCCATGACCTTCCTGCAGCAGGAAGTCCTGACCACCCATGCTGTGGGGTGAGCAGCTGGGATGCAGCAGAGATCTCAGCCATGCAGTTGCCTTTCTGGACCCTGACCACACAACTCCAGTCTCACCAGCCGTATGGCACTGGTGGAGGGTGCTGGTCAGCCCTGAGGAGCTGCAGTGAGGTTTGGAGAGACATTTCCATGTGTTTGGAGCAGCCATACGAGACCTGTGAACACCAGGATGGCTCCAGCCCCATGGACACTCCTGCACATCCCAAGGGGACACGAGATCCCAGCTTTGCCATTTTCCCAGCAGGAAAAACCCCATCCCACAGCCATTCAGCCCCCGAGCTGGAGGGATAAACCCTTGTGCAGGGTCGTCATGAGGAGCTGCACAATGAGACCAGGACATTGCCCCATCCTGGGATCATGGCAGCCCGTGCTCACCTGGGAGGTGAAGTCGTGCTGCTGGAGCTGCCTCCCTTCCCGCAGGTCCCAGGAACGCACCGTGTTATCCAGACCCCCCGTCCACAACTTCGTACCGTCGTGGGAGATGTCTATGCAGCTGGCACCGTCTGTGTGGCCTTGGAATTGCCTTGAAACAGGAGAAAACATCATGTATGTGTTCAAGGGGAACACTAAAAAAATGGCACTGAGGTTGGTTCCACGGAGCTGGTGCTCAGGATGCATTTCCAGCACCCAAGCATTCCAGTTTTAATCAAAGCCCAGACTGGTTTGGGTTGGGAGGGACCTTAAAGCTCATCCAGTCCCAACCCCCCTGCCAGCAGCAGGGACACCT